TGCTGCATATTTAGCAAAAGAATTTGTTAACAATCCCTAGACAAGAAAAGAGATAGGGCTGCGAAACAGCAAATAAACTCTCCTATTAGATTTGCAATACCTCACTTGCAATACATTGCAATACAGGCAATACATTTTCACTTCACATAGCAAAATGAATGTGCAACAAAACAACTATAGGACTAAAAAAATATTTAAAGCGTCAAACAAATGTAATTCGCCTCAAGCCTCACCTGCTTATCTGGTAAGCGAATTTCAATTTTGTGGTGAAGACGACCAGGATGTAGAAAAGCAGAACCAAGTTTGTAAGGGTCATTTGTTCCCATAATAACCTGACAAGTTTGTTATCGATAACACATTGAAGGACCTAAGAAGAAAAAAAAGACGATTCATAAAAGATTCATAACATTTAGATGAAAATCTCACTTTAACTTCCTTAAGCGGATCAGAACCACCGAAGTGGTTCAGTAGCTCCACTAAAGTTCGTGAACGTGTTAGCTCCCGGAAAGGGTAATAGCGCGTTCGTTCTCCACCGCAGACTCCTGCGGTCCGGATTTTTGCAAATATCTCAGCATCATGGTGGCTGCATCACACATAATACCCTTTTGTGAAAAACTGTAACAGAAAGTAAATAAAAAGTTAACATATTACAATTATAGTCCGAAATCTTCCCCAAGAACATGTGAAAGTGTCTTGAAATAAGAAGCGATCGCACAGTCGATCGACCACTCTCTCAAAACAATCTACACGCATAGGCTTGCTTTTTTTCTCTAGGAATGTTCTAAAAAATGAATTAGTAACGCAATCTAATCTCTTCGAGGTAACGAGTTTGCTCTGCAAGAGTGGCCAACATCGGCAATGGTGATGTTACCCAGAGATCGGTGCCACCTTTTGCAAGACAACGTAAGCCATTTCAGGAAGAAGTTTTCCCTTATGGATCATGCAAAACAACATAAATGCCAGAAAACCAAGTCTTCATTGATGGTATAATAATTTAAAGCCAGAAAACAAAGCACTGTGTGAACAATAATGGAGACCCGGGAGAAAGAAAGGGAATAAGTTTCCCTAACCACTGCAGAATAGAAAGCCTCATCAATCAATTTATCAAAGTACACAAAACGCCTGTTGTCAACTGATACAGTATACATCGACAATGGAATACTTACATAAACGGCAAGGCAGTCATTTCAAGAGGAACTCGGGTACCGTTTCAGTTCTTCCTTAAAGCACAGGTAACCCATCACATATCTTGTCCTGTCTGTGACTTACAAAAATCTTTGCAGATGAATTGAAACATACTGTACCTTATTAAGCTAATACGTAGGCCAAGGTACAAAACGCAATACAATCTGACATTCAACGAAACAAAGATACTGAAATCGGGCAAACCTTAACGATGAACTTCTCTTTCGATGAACTTCTTCGGTACCTCACTAACCATTTGGCCAACTGACGGCAGCGACTTCATATTACCTTCAGAATTTCAATACGATTTTTGTTCATCTGCGTGAACAAATTTACCCTTTGCTGGTCCAGAAGTAAAAGGAAACTAGAACGCTCAGTTACATTACAAGATAAAACTTCCTTCCGTTCTCGCAAAGAGCTTTAAAGAAACACAAGAATAAAGTAGATTACCTTCCTTTTTAGTAGCTCCAGCTGCAACTCAAGATCTTTACATTCAACCAACTTCCTCCTACAGTTCCTGGACGAACGAAATAGCAGACACTTCATACTCCATTGACAAAACGATTTGAACACCTTAAAAACACGATCAGATGATAATGATAAAGTAAAAGTAACCGAAAGCAAGAAGTAAGAAGACCAACTCAAACCACATAAAATTCCCTAGAAGAACTCTCGGTAAATCTGAGCGGCAAATAGTTTGAGATGATTGAATGCATATCTGGCCTTTACAATAACTCGCCGTGGCCTTGCGATGTATCGAACCAGTGCTGCTATCATCCCAGACAATCTGTAGACCCAGGAAAGGAAGAAAGCTTGGTGAGCCTTAGGCGCGGAAAACGATCCCATGCGTATCGCAGGGCGCCTTCGACCACTGCGCTACACGCACCTCTAGAACTACCTTTGATACAGTCTAATAACGCATTTCGTTATGAAGTGTAAACGCAAACTCCTATCATGGAAGGTAGCAAAGCGGTTAGTGACAAATTCCATCAAGAATCAAAGCGGTGGATTGGCGCCTCCCCCAACACTTCCGCAAATCACTCGGGACGTCCCACCTCGGCTATCCCGGAATTCCCGGAAGCATAGATTCGACCAGCATTCCACGAGATTTACGAATAAGATGACGTCCTCAAGCAGTAGTCTAAACAACACATAGAGTGGTCAAAGACCTTTGTGGATGATGAATGCGGCGAAAACGAATCGAATGCAAAGATCCTGGAACAGCTGAGATCCGCACATTAAACGTGGGGAGAGGTCATGTAGACAATTATTTAAAGAACCCCTTAGTAATCTTACTTAGCACCAAAGGCCTCCCGATAAAACAAAGTAGTACCAAAACCTCTATCCAAAATATGTGAACCCCTTTCAATAAAGTGGCATATAAAGGACTGCTCAGGTGTCATCGGGCTACAGCAATTCTGTTCGCAATAGAGCACGAAAATCACCAGTGTTAACGAGATCTCTACAACGTCTATGATCCTAATTGTTGCATGAGAACACAAAAATCTTAAGTAATCTTATTCTGACATGGTTCTAAAACTATCTCACTATGATTGTGTGGTCGCGAAGTAGTTGAAGTAAGCGACTTTTAAAAGGGCTTCATCGTCGACGTTTGTATGAAAGCCAAACGTAGTCAACATCATTTTTTTGAAGTTCTCTTCTTTTTTCGTCCTGAATGCCTTTGCTTTCCACCAAGTTTGTGTCTGATTGCATATCGTCTCATGTCGTATTCTTAGATACTGGAGACGTCTGGGCTTGAGCGGGGCACGTGCTATTATTTGTGCAATTTTGTCACCATTGTGGACTGAGATAGGTTAAGGTTTCGTTATACAGTCACTAAAGATACCCGTTAAATCATACCTTTAGGAAAATGTAAGTAAGAAAGTAATGAAGAGTGTGCCGTTCTGTTTCTTTGTTCCCTAGCGGCAGCATTATGTTCCCTAAACGGCCAGATATGCACTCAGTCACCTTCAACGATGCTTAGTAGAATAAAATGCATGGCGCATCTCTCAGGTACTCATTAACGCCGAGAGCTCCATACTTTTTATTTAAACGGTAAGGCGCCAACCATTCAACGCCATCTATGACACCGGAGAACTGTTCCCCGGAACATCACACACCCTACAGTAGGCGAGTCAACGACGTCGATGTTCACGTCAGCATGAGTTTGGGCTTTAACATCGTTTTATCCGAATAGATGAGAATCCGAATCGAACGTCTACGTTTGAAATCGTATGAATCAACACCTACTTTAGCAGTCTCCGTCGTCTGTGCATCAACATCAAAATATGAAAAAGACGAATTTGAAACATTCTATGCGGCAAAAGGCCAACTCTCCACACCTAGTAATGTATAGTAGCTTTTACTTATCGGGAGAGTTTGCTAAACCACACAGGCTGTTGATACTGAGGAGATCAAGGATAGCGAAAGTGCCAGAGGTATAGTAGGTATACTCAGTTGTCTCTGTACATCGCTACGACTATCCCTTATATCGACATAGTAACTTGAAGATTGTTCCTAAGCGAGAGAATACATACAACTGTTAGTTGAGGAAAGCTCAGCAAGTGTGAGCCGATTTTAGCTCACAAATACGGCGGAAAATGGGTCAGTTGGTTGTGACTACCACACGAAATTAGGCGTAGACTCAAGTGTTGACATTTGGCATAAATGTGACACGATTTCAACACAGAAGCACAAGTGCTTATTCATTTGTTCTAGTATGACATTAACATTACTTACTTAGACACTAGGATGGTCCATCTTCTTTAGTTGTGCGGGCCCCAGCACAATTTCTATTTTTCCGGAGTTTTGCTGGTTTAGCCATTGTGGTTCCCTGGATTTCCTGAGGTCTGCTTAGCCAATGCCCCAGGCCGTCACCACAATAGGAAGTCGCCGCCCTTGTTGATCGGTGGGAAATTTACCACCATGCGACTAGTTTGATACCAGGAGGTGAGTCCTGGTAGAGGTTTACTGGAAGTTCTGATGGAAACACCTCACTTCTTCTCAGACTGGGAAACCATGTTGTGGGGATGAATTTCTCCTCTGTAAATCGCAACTCGAAAGAGGAAAATCTCCCAGCCACAGTGAGGCTGTAAACCGTTGGGAGGGACATGGTTATTATGGTACAATATTACATAAAAATACTACATCATGTTTTTTTTATACTACCCATCTTTCACATCTACTGTGCCGAATTCAACACTTCTGGAATTGGATTCGTTTGCTCGCATTCGTAACCACAAAGGTCTTCCAGTTTTTTACGCATGGCTTCGGCTGTTGATTGAGGATTTTCTTTTCATCACGAATGTCGTCGAATGATGGTCGAGTCGATTCCCCTGGAGTCCTGAGATAGCCGGGCTAGAGCCTCTCCACTTGGATTTCAGAGAGCGAACTTTTCCGGGACGAGCCTGCTACTAATTTCCCGACCACATGGAAATGAGAGGTTTCTTGAGCTCGGAACGAGATCGCGTCAGCACCACGTTCGTGATGATCACCATCACCACCATGTGCTTTCCTCTCCCCTAGTATCATGTTACGAATGGAGAATAAATAAAGTCAAAAATTTAGTTGGCAAATGAACACATAGATATAGAGACAATCCCAAAACTTTACTTAGCAATAAACATTGAAGTGACAGAATCCTTTATTTAAAAAGCATATGTAACAATAAAATCTAAAGCGCTGGATGATATCCTCGAATACCTTTCATTCAACGCTTTTGTCTTGAAAAAAAGCTGCCGAAAAAAAGCGATACACGTGTAGAAATAATCTAGAACACATATGAGTCAATCTAAAATAAAGCGACCTCAACTTTATTACACGAATCCTCTCGTGTCGGCACGATGAACTCTGTTCCGACCTTGTACCGTTGTCGGCCCTTGTCCTATCTGTTGCCGACTGTGTTTCTCCAACATCGCTTGTCCGATGGCTGTAAGATCGCGAACTGTTCGCTCGATTCGCATTGGTGACGGCGCATCGTAGATTGACGACAGCATGTGCTTAAGATGTTCCAAAAGGCGATCGTTGACGATCTTGTACTGAATGATGCTCAATGTGGATCGCTAACGTCATAAAATGTGAAATGAACAGAAAAAGAAAACGAAACGGACAGAAAGAAGAGCACAAAAACGACAATAAAGGGTAAAGCTTTCGGCGATGATCAGTCCCACAAAGTTATGCTATGACATTCGACCACATTAAACACTGTAGTGGCGATTCAATGCGCATTTGGGTTACGCAATTACCTGCAAAGCCCTACGAATGGATCAAGAGTCCTTGAGGTTCGCTCAGCAGCACACTTTGTTCAAAACCGTAACTAAAGATAAAGCCTACCAGCAGCATAAGGAAATCCGGGAGCACTATGTTACCATCATCATCGGTGTGCCGAAGATGTGCGTACTTGGAATACAAGCGGGCTACACCATTTTCCATTGCTTTTTCTAAAAAACAATAATACGAAACATAGTATGAGAATAATAGGGTTGGAAGCAAAATCGTCCACTTCTCAGGTTAATAAGAGCGAGCAGCTTCCTGATGACGACATGGCGTTTCTCGGACGTCTTAAAAGGAAAACCTGACACAAAGGAAACACAAAGTCATTTTGTAATAAAAGGTAGTGAGTAGTTCAAAACTGGATAGTTTTTATTACTGTTATTAGTAAGGAAAATGAACTTGCTGGTCATGTCGATCAATACAATGTGTTTTTCACTGATGGCTAGTTTGATTATCATTTCATAATGACAGTCAATAAGAAAAGGTTTTAGGTTTCACTTTTCACTACCGTGGTTAAAAGAGGGTCGGTTTGAAAACCAGTAAGAAGTTCATTCATTCATTAACTCTAGTCAAATCATTTGTTTCCTACTGCATGTCATTTATCCTGAACACTATTATCATTGTGCAGTTTTACGTGTACGCTTGTGGCGTATGCAGAATTTTTCACAGGTTTCTACAGGATTAGTGAACAGTTTCCACGTAGCTCATGCCATAGCCAGCTGTACTTGAGGCAGTATTTGTCCTAGAATACGATTGAAAACCTTTCGGTGAAGGGACTGTAAACTGCCTTTGCAAGTGAACGGGTTACGAGAGATGAAACAGCTGGTAGGTCAAAATTATGTCTATTACTGTAAACAGAGTTTGTTTAAAATGATGCCCACCGTTTGCCCTCGTGGTCTTCCTGGTTCAAGATAGGGCAACAATCTAGAAATCACAAGTGGATCGCCTCCCGTTTGCATCTTGTAATCAAATCGAGCTGCGTGCTATGAAGATTATCGTCTAAATTGAATTGATTTAACACCTGAAAGGAACTGTCTGATATAAATTCACAAAGAAAGTTTAAAAACTGGTCAAACTTATAGCAGTTTGTTTTCTACTCAACTGTATTTCTTCCGTTTGCCATTATTCCTTGAAAATTCCCTCGAAACTTGCCTGGTCTTTCTTTTTCAAAACCTCTTATTCGGAACTATAATCGTTCATTAGATACCGATTGTGGTGGCACCTCGTTCGCTGTTGGTTCGAGACCAACTGGCTGGATCGACTCCGGTGATCTCTGGTCGACATGCAATCCAAGGCTACTGTGTAGTTTATTATCTGTTCATTTATTATTGAAGTCTATTGCTATTATTTGCTATTATCTATCCAGTCCTTTTTTAGCTCAATCTTTATTATTCGGTGAATACACCTTTCCACAGTCTTAATTAAAAGTTTAAAGAATTAATTTATAAACAACAAACAAAACAAAAATTTGTCTGTCATGAAACACTCAACGACTGACCGCTTTGATTTCTGATGAGAGAATAGGACCGTCCAGTAGCGTGCGCACGGTGAAAAATAAGCTTGACTGAGATCGGTGTGAGCATATTAACCTGCCGTAACACGTAAACTCAAGTCTGATCATGAGGCATCCGTCCTTCCCATTCATGTCTAGATTTTTACACGTCATACTAAAAACTCCAGAGTTTTGAACACTGATGGTACTTGGAGGAGAACATTGGCGGATTTTATGTTCCCGCCTAGATGATCTTTTATGTGAAGACGAAGCAAAGTGGTTTACGTGCTTTGTCAATAGACTCATCACCACGTGTTTTACAGGTCCGAAAACGGCTACATGACAAAGTGCTACCGAAGACGAAGTAACAAAAACATACTGGCTCATTACCTCTTTTCTCAGGCTCTACTTACAAAAACACCGCTGTCGAGAAACACAGGCAAACTGTCTGTAGAGTAAGAGAGCAGAAGAAAGAATGTCTGGAATTAGCACGACGAAGAGCAATTTTCAGAAGCCACGAAACTTCAGCCCTTTGGGCTAGGCTTAGATGAACAACGCTTCAAAGAGATATATATTATATATAGCGAAAATAAGATTCCCCACATCCCGATCTTCATTTCCAGCAAAGTGACCGCACCTATAAAATGAAGTTTAGAATGGTCCCGTCTAGAAACTCGGTAGCAGTGATTGAAATACCATCGAATCCTCTAAAGCGTTTGCAAGTCCTTCGCCGTTTGTATGACAGCCCATGCGAAACGCAGAATTACATGCTTTGCCCTAATGCTAGAGAAGGTGTTTTATGAATTTGGGTACGGTGTGCGTAATCTCTTGTGAATCATTAGTAGAGGATAATCTAATCAAACTATGTACCACTCCGTATTCATAAAGGAACATCTGGCCGGTAAGCGTAAAGTTAGACAAAATACTTAACTAGGCCCGCCTGGGACAGAGAGAAATAACGGATGCGATTTTAAAGAAGTGACCATTCTCGCAAAGGAATGTAAAACCTCAACGATGAAAGCCTTCGAGCCACTTTAGACAATTTTCAGGAATCTAGAAATTGAACCGCAGGAATGCCTCTTTATCACGCTTGATCTCACACAACATCTCAGACAGAAATTTTAGCCTAAGAGAAGAGCATTACCCATCCTTGTGAACTGTTTATCTCTACATGGGCTACTGATTGGTAGAATTACAGGAAACGGTGTGTTGTGAAGGAACTGTTCCCTCTTCAGTGTAATTGAGGTTTAGGTATAGTGGTTCTTCTGTGGTGAATATGGAGGTATTTGGCTGGCTAGTTTTCAGATGCCTTGGCGTTTCCGAGCTCGCAAGGGCACAAAATCCGCTGAAACGTTATCTACTGTTAATAAACAGTATAGTAGCAAAATTGTATGTGCTCATAAAAAAACAGGGAATATCAATTGGGGATACTGATCATTGCGAAGGTGAGTAGAAAGCAATTATTAGAAATTGCTGTTCAACCTAATCTCCGGCACGCATGCGTATCTCACCACACCTTCAGTATGCTGTGGAAAGAAAACCGCAAAAAAACGCGTATAGGAATTGCACAGATGTCGAAGGGACTAGCGAACGTCTATTAGGTCTTACCATCTCATTGGAAATTGAGGCCCCTCATTTAACACAAAGCTTCATATCAGCAGACAGAATGGACAATTTTTGGACTTAATTTCTTATTAGGTGAGAGAAGCACGGTGACACGTATAGGTGAAGAAAGTATTTGAGTTATTCACTGAGGACGAGGTGAAACCTTCAGATAAAACCGAATCTAGTACTGAAGCTAATGAATAAAACTTTTAAGCATTGTTTTTCTTATACTGGTTATCGCGTCAAACCTATATTTCGCACACATTGAGCATCGTTTGGAGGGGTTTGAATGCAATATGGCCTTTACAATGGCTCTCGGTATCCAATCGATGTATCGAGCCAGTGCTGCTATCCTCCAAGACAACTTTGGTACCAATTTACCGACCTCGGGGGGATGGAGGGCTTGATGGGCCATGAGCGCGGAGATCGATTCCACTTGTGTGCCGCAGTGGCGCTTCCAGCCACTGCGACACACGCGCCAGTGGCTCACCAAGACTTCTATCCATCCAGGGTCGGTAAATTGGTGCCAAACTTGTCTGTTCGGATAGCACCCACGGTAGGAGTTTTAATGCGAATGAAGTAGAGGAACACAATTTTAACGTACACAGATGTCGCAGCAACCCTTCATAAATATTATATAACGAAATAGTTAGCGGCAAAGTGTAGCGGTTCAGATTGTTGTAGAATATTAACCACACGGGTTTTTTGGCCGTTGTATTAATCTACCAGCCTCAAAATTGGGTAATTAAACCTTTAATACATAAATACAACATTGACAACATAATACGATAGAGAAGAGAAGAAGAGGAATAGAAGATAGAACGATAGAGAAGGCAGAGGAATGATGCGAGTTAAAGATCTGAGGTGCTAAGGCTCGTAGTGAAGTGAGGCTAACAACGATACAATGGCATTCAAACATTGTTATACCATTAATACAATATTAACAATAGTAATGAATGATTACAACGAAGTAACCGTTGGTTAGCCGTGAGCGATGCCGCGCAGCATCTATCCGCGGCCGGTGCGGCGGCTGAGGGAAACAGTTTGCTGGGGCGGAGAAAGGAAACTGTATGCCACGGAGGGGGAGACAGTATGCTGGGGCGGAGAGGGTTAGAGAATAACCGTGTTTCGACTGAGCTAAGAGGAATCTAAAACATGTAACGCTAAAACGTGAATAAAAAGAGCATCGTGTAATGAGTGATCTACTACATCTTCTTTAATAATTGGTCGATTTTATCGACATATTATGTGTCTGCTTAATATTAGTGCGTTCTTTTTTGAGTGGATAACAATGTTTTGATTTCTCGTTTTGTACTGTTTGTTAGGGCGCGTGTGGCGTTATGGTCGAAGGTGCCCTGCAATACAGATGGGATCGATCCCGGCGTCACAAGCACACCAAGCTCTCCATCCTTCCGGGGTCGGCAAATTGGTACCAGAGTTGTCTGAGAGGATAGCAGCACTGGCTGGATACACCGGCAGGCCAGCGCGAGTTATTGTAAAGGCCAGATATGCACTCAATCACGTTCAACGATGCATAATGAAGTCGAATGCATCCCGCATTCCTCAGTGATCGATCAACGCCGAGAACTTCATTCTCTTTTATTCTTACTGTTTATTGGAATTTTTTCTCAAAATTTGTTAGAACGTCAGTACTTTCACCTATAACGGTTTGGCTTTTAGCGTCTAACGTTCAAGAGCTCAATATCATTATGCTTTAACGTACCACAATGTTGATAAAGGGTTTTCTTTTGTGGTTTAGTGGTATAGGGCAAACCATAATCTCTAATTATTAAGCTTGGTTTCTGCTTGCAGTATTTTACGTAAATTAAAATGTCAGAGACGTGCTTCCGCAAAGAAATGTTTTGGCTGCCATATAACAGCGTCATGAGCGTTAATGAAAACTTCAAGTTTTTTGCTCGCTTAAGGGAGTCGTAGAATAACTCAACCCAATTGCCACGACCGACTTTCTATTAACCTCGGCATTGATCAAGTAATTTTCTTCGAATTTTTGTTGAGCAAACGCGAGGTGTTATTATTCTCTGTTCACGATTAAGCCGACGTTTCGGCGCATTTCGCCTTCCTCAGAGCCTGGAAAGGTCAAGTTGATAGCAATCTACTCGGCCAGACGCCTTCATAACCAAACAATAAAACTCCAAACCAAGATTTCAATCACTTTGAACACAGCTTTGCACACTCACCGCTTCCTATGAGGTTTCCACTAAGTATGTCACGTAGAGACCAACCGCACAGAAATCACATGGAAGTATAATGTGACCCTCACATCAGAAAAGCAGTTTTATATACTGCCCCATATCACCCGTGATAATGAGGCATTCTTCCCTACAGTTAATTTTCGGATTTCTGGAATTAATCCAGAGTGCCTCGAGAGTTTTTCGCGCCTGTGTTCTTGATTCGCGTGCGAGGATCGTGACACATACTTCGAAGTCGTCCCCGTTATGTCTCTGGGTCCTATGCGTGCCTAGCGGGGTATTTGGTCTATTTTTGCCGGCTAGGTGTTCTTTCATGCGGACACAGAGGGGTCTACCCGTTTCGCCAATGTATTCGTCACCACACGTCTTACAGGAGATCAGATAAACTATACCCGAGCTCATGCAATCACCGTCCCTACCACTGGGGCAAATTATGCAATTTTGAGTCTGGCGCTTAAGATTACTCGGTGGTATTTCAACTACGCTCACCGAATTCTCTAAGCCCGCCCTTCTT